TTATTTTAGTAATTTAGTTGACCAGTTAGATATTCCAGATTATCCTCACCTAATTTGGTGGGAGATGTCTCCTTAGGCTGATGATGCTAAGTTCTTGAGTCCCAATACTGCAAAGAATCCCAAATGCAGATAAACTATGATATAAGTAAAATAAAAGCATTTTCATAGAACCCTCTTCCCACAATTATTTCTGGCATATCAGTAAGATTCCCATTGCCGAAGTCTCATGTTTCAAATACCTGGCTGTGGATTTTCAGGACTCATATAGGCTAAGAGCACAGGACAAATAGGATACTTTGACTGTTCAAAAGAGCTCAGCTGCTATCTTGTCATTCTACTGGACAAGGATAGGAGAAACTATCTACCAGTTGGCCTTCAAGGAAAAGCATTGGCCCACTTGTTATATCTTCAGTTCTTTAGGCATTGAATGAGACAGAGTGTTGAAATAGCAATAAGTTTATTAACTCAGAACAGAAGCAGCCCTAAAGGCTGCTGCACAGCTATTTATACAGTGAGCCTCTAGGTGGCAACCAATAGGTTTAAAGTTACAGTTTCCCGCCCCAAAACTCATTATCAACTTGGAGACAGCCAGTCTGGCTTTCAGTAACAGCAACTGTTAAACAATACAACAATGTAGGTAATAGTAATGGTAGTAAAGTTGGAAGGGATCTTGGAGGTTATCTAGTCCAACCCCCTGCTCAGGCAGGAAACCCTACACCATTTCGGACAAATGGCTGTCCAGTGTTGGAGCATTACTGCTTCTGGAGGCAGGCTGTTCCACTGATTAATTGTTCTCACTGTCAGGAAGTTTCTCCTTAGTTCTAGGTTGCTTCTCTCCTTGATTAGTTTCCACCCGTTGCTTCTTGTCCTGCCTTCAGGTGCTTTGGAAAATAGCTTAATTACATCTTCTTTATGGCAGCCCCTGAGATATTGGAATACTGCTATCATGTCCCCCCTCCTCCTTCTCTTCGTTAAACTAGACATACCCAATTCCAGCAACCATTCCTTATATGCTTTAGCCTCCAGTCCCCGAATCATCTTTGTGCTCTTCTCTGCACTCTTTCTAGAGTCTCAACATCTTGTTTACATCGTGGTGACCAAAACTGAATGCAGTATTCCAAGGTTGGCTTACCAAGGCATTGAAGAGTGTTTTTAATACTTCATGGTGATCTTTTATTCTATCCCTCTGTTATGCAGCCTAGCACTGTGGTTGGCCTTTTTGGCAGCTGCAGCACACTGCTGCTCAATATTTAGTGATTGTCCTACTTGACGCCAAGGTGCCCTCTCAACAGTTTCTACTTTGAAGTCAAGGTGCCACCTATGTTTTTAGACACTACGGTCTATTTTATCAAATTAATCCATGAAGACACATAAGTAGGCTGCCATTGTTGTTGTTAGTTGCGAAGTCGTGTCCGACCCATCGCGACCGCCATGGACAATGTTCCTCCAGGTCTTCCTGTCCTCTACCATCTTCTGGAGTCCATTTAAGTTCACACCTACTGCTTCAGTGACTCCATCCAGCCATCTCATTCTCTGTCGTCCCCTTCTTCTATTGCCCTCAATCTTTCCCAGCATTAGGCCCTTCTCCATTAGGTGGCCAAAGTATTTGAGTTTCAACTTCAGGATCTGGCCTTCTAAAGAGCAGTCGGGGTTGATCTCTTCTAGACTGACCGGTTTGAACGCCTTGCAGTCCAAGGGACTCGCAGGAGTCTTCTCCAGCACCATAGTTCAAAGGCCTCAATTCTTTGGCGCTCAGCCTTTCTTATGGTCCAACTTTCACAGCCATACATTGCAACTGGGAAAACCATGGCCTGGACTATACGCACTTTTGTTGGCAGGGTGATGTCTCTGCTTTTTAGAATGCTGTCTAGATTTGCCATAGCTTTCCTCCCCAGGAGCAAGCGTCTTTTAATTTCTTGGCTGCAGTCCCCATCTGAGGTGATCTTGGAGCCCAGAAAAATAAAATCTGTCACTACCTCCATTTCTTCCCCATCTATTTGCCAGGAATTGAGAGGGCCGGATGCCATGATTTTGGTTTTCTTAATGTTGAGTTTCAAGCCAACTTTTGCACTCTCCTTCTTTACCCGCATCAAGAGGCTCTTTAGTTCCTCTTCACTTTCTGCCATTAGAGTGGTATCATCTGCATATCTTAGGTTGTTGATATTTCTCCCGGCAATCTTAATTCCAACTTTTGATTCATCTAGCCCTGCCTTTCTCATGATGTGCTCTGCATATAAGTTAAATAGGCAGGCTGCCATAGGGGTGAAAAATTGTTTATATACTGCAGGTGGGTATTATTATTTTTTGTCTAATTGGAAAATGATGTGTTGTACTTTAATAGAGGAGGAGACAACTTTTGCATATATAGTCTGACATATATTGAGTTCGTTTTGGAAGGACTATCAGTGGAAAATAATTAATACAAGTGCATATGCTGCCTTCAACATATATGTGTTTAATTGATAGAGTTAAGTTACTGACAAGATAATGAATTGCAAAGAAATTGTGTTATATACATTCAACTTTGCCTTGATAATATAAACATTTTTGTTCAGTTGTTTCTTTTTAATTAACAAAGATCATGAGGAGATTATAAACTTGTTTTAAAATTAAAAAGCTACACAACCCTTAAGCCCTCTGTCTTGGAACTGGGTTTGTCTGAAACCAATAACACTTAATCCATGTTTCACCCGCAAACGTAGCAGATTCCACCCGAGGGTTCCCCTCACAGCTTTTTCTAAACCCAGAATCTACAGGAAATGGATCTCCTGCTTGAGCAGGAGGCTGGACTAGAAGATCTCCAAGGCCCATTCCAGCTCAATTCTGATTGTGATTGTGATTCTGAAATATGACATCTAAGAAAGATGAGGGGTAACAAGCTTGTAAATACTTGCTGACAGGAAGATTGGAAGTCATTCATTTCTTCACTTCTGTTTATTCTTACTTTTATTTCTTGCAGTTTTTCTTTTTCTTTTGTTTTTTCTTTGGATTTATCTTTTCCTGTACAAAAATATCTTAATAAAGATTTATTAAAAATGTGTATAGGAATGAAAACATTATCATATAATATATGATAATAATTATTATTAAAACAGATTCTGGCTAAATAATAGGAAGAGCATATAAGAAGGAAGAGCAGCTTGTCAGTGAACTTCTTTGTAGGGAAAACAAAGTTTTAGTGGAGTTATATGGTGTTAAATTATTAGAGAACTCCCCTGTTACAAATTTCACTTTCCTGAGGAGAAGTATCCCAAATATTGGAGAAGGTAACATTCATGAAATACTGTCCCCATATTCTTAAGCACCCCATTCATTTTGCCTCAATTATCTCATTGATAAGAGATTATTTGCTATTTGCTATCAAGTCAGTGTGGACTTTTTAGCCAACATAAAACCAGGTTTCCTTTGGGAAGATCTCCCTCAACCAGGTTTTATTTCATATTTTCTCACCATGTGATTTTCATATTAAAATATGGGAGTAATTTAACACTTCCCTTCACTGAAGTCTTAATGAATGACCACTGTCTTCTCCTGCACATATGAAATCATGCCTTGGCCATTGGCACTAAAAGGATCTTCCACTTCGATCATCTTCCTATGTTCCTGTTGCCCATAATATTTTGGATAGCTGGGCAGTTGGGCAGATCTTCTTATCTTGGGCAATTCTAATGAGAAATTTTCTCTCTCTCTCTCTCTCTCTCCCCCCCTCTCTCTATTTCTCTTTTTCTCCCTCACATCTCTCCTCCCCCAGAAACATGCCCCCCCTCACTAAATTGATAGATTAAGATTTTGGGTGTGTGTGGGGGTCATTATTGTATTTATGAACTAATTGCCTCACTGACTGTACTAGATCTTGATGCCCTTTACCCAATCATACACTTGTTATTGCCTAGACTCAAACATTTAACTTGCTTCTGTTCCCAATCCCTGGCTAGACTAGACTAGACTAGACTAGAACCAGAACAGAACAGAGCAGAATAAAATAATAGAGTTGGAAGTGACCTTGTAGGTCTTCTAGTACATAAAAAGCCTTGTTTGCATCTATTTACATAAAATCAAAAGGAGGGAATCTTCCCTTCTTTAGGTCAATCCTTTTGTCCTGCAGAACAATAAGAAAAAATGTGCTTCAACAGAAAGGTGTCCCAGTCTGATTCAAATGTACCTTTAGGAAATCCTCACATACTCAACCCCAGCATCCATGCACACCCACACGCTTTCCCATACACTCAACATCAAAAAGGAAGGGCTCTATTTGGAAATTGCTTCCGGATTTTATGCTTGCAATGAAAAAAAATGAAACTTTCATTTTGTTTTTGCTGTTTGTTGCTATAGAAATGGCTAGCATATACTGTTGTGTAAAAGTAAAAAGTTGAGGTAATATTATTTTCTATTGTGCTAAAGAGAGTTGGAAGTCGATGTCTTTTTCTTTCCTTTTCCCTCTATATAAGATATTTTCTCTTTTCCCCCTTCTCTCCAGTTTTCTATTACTTTTTAAAATTTCTCTTTGTATTTTATATTTTGATAAACTAATAAAATGTATTATAAAAATAAAAAACATCAAAAAGAAAGGAGAAAACACATTTATTATAACTGGGAGTCCATTTCTACCACTTAAAGAAATGACTCATTGGTGTGTTTATTATTTTATTTAAAAAACATTAAAGTATCAAAAACCATTAAAATATCAAAAACCATTTGCCACATAACCCAAATTTAAGTTACTATTTTATTTTGACATCATATGTTCTTTTGTATTCAGATCTGGTCTTAGGAAAATAATGTAACATTTGGGGAGAAAAATTAATAGCAACAGGCTAGCGCTGGAAGCCAACATGGAGAAGACCTGCACGGCTACCATATACTTCCCCTTGGTGCTCAGGTAAGTGGGTACAAAGGATATCCAGACGCTACAGAAGACCATCATGCTGAAGGTGATCAACTTGGCTTCGTTGAAGGCCCCAGGTAGATTCCTGGCTAGGAAGGCCATTGTGAAGCAGATGATAGCCAGGAAGCTCATATAGCCGAGGGCAAGATAGAACATGGCACGAGAGCCTTCATTACATTGAAGGATGACCTCAGCAGATTCTGAATACATGTCCGACTCAGGGAATGGGGGAGAGGTGCCCAACCAGATGCTGCAAAGGACAACTTGGACTCCAGAGCAAGAAAGGATGATAGAATTGGCCATGCTCTTCCCTAACCATCTCTGTACATTATTCCCTGGTTTTGTGGCCAAGAAGGCTAATACCACCATGACAGTTTTGGCCAAGACAGTAGAAATGGCAACTGTAAAAATGTTGCTGAATGCTGTTTGTTGGACAAGGCAAGTGGTTACTTTTGGTTGACCAATGAATAAGAATGAGGTCAAGAATGAAAACAGAAGGGAGATGAGGAGGATGTAGGAGAGATCACGATTGCTGGCTTTGACCAAGGGAGTTTCTCGAAATTTAATGAATATTCCAAAGAGAAAAATGGTTGCCAAAGACAAGAACAAGGCAAGGGAAGCTAGCATGATCCCCAACATTTCTTGGTAGGATAGGAAAGTTTCCATCTTAGGTATACAGTCATCTTGGCTGAGACTTGGATGCTGATCTGCTGGACATTTTGTGCATCGTTCAGCATCTGAAAAAGAGCAAGATTAATATCTATCATAAAGCAGATGCTTTCATCAGATGCATAGCTGGAATGAAACTAGTGATGATATGGATGAATATGTGGGGAGAAAGGAAGTTTGCAGAAATGCTTAGCAAATTTAAATAGTATAATGCAAAGGACAATTGCCACAATTGTCCTGCCACCAATGACCCATGGACAGATACTTGTTGGGAATTCCTGTAACAGACTAGTTCAAGCACAGGAAGGAATAAGGGAATATTTTAAGGAGAAAGGTATTTCACAATAAATTCAGCTCTTGGTCTTCTGAAAGGATTATGTGAATTTGGATTTCCAAAAGTTGGCCTCTGCTGAGTATTCTGCCTTTTTAATATTTCCCAAAATGTTTCTTTCTCTGGATTCTTCCCACAGGACAATGTGACCTGAACTGTCAGAGAGGGGAGGGAAAGTTTTACTCTTTTAACTATCTGTTTCCTGCCATTGCTTTAGAGTTAGCTTTCCTTCAAAACTTGCCAGTTTTTGCCTAATAAAGTGAATATTGGAGTTTATCATGTCTCTAGTGTTTTGCTTGGTTGGGCTTATTCAGCCGGAATATGACAGAGAATGTCTACCATTTTTCATCAAAGAACAGGAAGGAAGGAAGGAAGGAAGGGAAGGAAGGAAGGAAGGAAGGAAGGAAGGAAAGGAGGGGAAGGGAGGGTTGGGAGCGAGTGAGGAAGGAAGGAGGGAAGGAATAAATCATTGTTGGAATTGTGGCTGGACCTGTTAATAAAAGAAATCCGGGATTCTACTCATGCATTAGTTGATCAAGGAAAGTAGGAGAGGAGAAAAGAGGAGAGAAGGGAAGGAAGAGGAGAGGAGAGGAGAGGAAAAGGAGAGAAGAGAGGAGAACATCAGAAATTCTCCATTTCTGTAGAGACACCAAGAAAAAATACCAGAGGTTCACCAATAAATAAGATGAAGAAAAAGAAATGCCATTTCTCTTCTAATCCCAATTCTTGATTAATCTCCTGTTTTAAATAGCCTGCTCTATATTTAAATCACGAGACTATTTCTTGTAACTCCCTATAAATTATACATATTAAAAGAAATTATTTTTTAAAGTCAAGTTTAAAAATGCCTGTCAAAACTTGCTTTCATGAAGAAGTCATAGGCCATGGTCTTCCCCAAAATGTTCCTTTTTTCTCTGGTATCACTAACCTTCCATGGTGGAGATGGTTCCTTCTGGACAAGGAACACAATTGTAGCAACAGATGGGTTTCCCTTCCAAAACCACCTTCATGAATCCAGGATGACAGCTTTCCACACACCTGGAAGTTGGTAGGCTCTGAAGAATGAAAGGAAGTACACCCAGATCATCAATGTATTTGTATCTGTATCTGCATCTGCATCTGCATCTACATCTACATTTATAGCTATTTCATGAAAATCGAAGATCTTATTTTTTGTGACCAACTGAATAAAGATGATATTTGCACTGTTCAGAACTTGATCAGCTGACATGAATACTCAAAAGCAATAACAGAAGCCCAAAACTGTAGTCCTGTTTTTGCCACATTTAGTAGAATAAAATAAACATTAATTGCAGATTGTCAGCATTTGTACCTGTCCAATACTCCTCTGGTCAATGGTAACTTTAAAATCCTGAGTTGTCTGTTTTTCTAGACTTCCAGTTTTTGTTCTCTTGACAGATTTGTTTGGGAAAACAACCCAGTTCACAATGTTCAAGTCAGCCGTCAAATCTCCTTTCTCATCCAAATATACCCCATCTATGGAATTATTGTGAAACTGAGGGCTCTGAAGGAAAGGGTGAAGCTGGAAAGAAAAGGAAAAGAAGAGTTTAGAAAGTACATCAGAAATATTTGTTTGTTTGTTTGTTGGTAACCCACCTTTAATACTTTTACAAATAACTCAAGGTGGCAAATATATGCAACACACCTTCCTTCTCCTATTTTTCTCACAAAAACAACCCTGAGAGTGAATTGGGCTGAGAGAGATTGACTAGGCCAGTGGTTCTCAACCTTTCTAATGCCGCGACCCCATAATACAGTTCCCCATGTTGTGGTGATCCCCAACCACTTATACATCACCGGGTGCCAGGGGCGTGGCCAAAGAAAAGGGGGAAAAAATGGCAGACAGCCTTGCTTGGCGACCCCCGTGAAATGGTTGTTCGACCCCAAATGGGGTCCCGACCCACAGGTTGAGAACCACTGCACTAGGCCAAGATCACCAAGCCGACTTTCATAGCTAAACTTGGTCCATATTGGGAGAGATCAGAACATTTCTCTCTCTCTTTCAAAAAAACCAGATTCTATTTTCAGTTCCAAACTTGGTTAGGAGTGTATCAATAAACATAAGATTTTTATTTGGATACATGAGCTGGAAGGTGACAAAATTATTGCAAAAACAAGGATCAAGGGAAACGGAAAATAAATAGATGGGAAAGATAGATTGCAATTAAGTTGGATCTGAGTTTCAGGATAATTTAATTTTTCAGACTATATAATCAAGGCATCCACTAAGAAAACTGATTCCCATTTGCAGAAGATACTGTACATGCCTGACGGGAAAGACATACCTGCCAAGCCGTCAGCCTTGGGGCTTCTAGCTTCATGCCTCTGTTCCTCGCTGATCTCTTGAATGTGGAGATATGAGCTGAATGTAAGGCCCTTCCCACAGCCCAGATGGTGCTGTAAGTCAAGTAACTGTCCATAGCCAGGATCCGATCAATCTCCTCTTCCCTCACAGCCACCAGTTCTTCTCTCTGTCTGCACCGTCTCCAGACTTTCACCGAAAAGGCATCCTTAGTGGAGGAACACATAAAGGTTTTCTTTGCAAAGTTAAATACTGAGTCAACGAAGAGACTAAAAGCATCGTAGTTTGCCCATTTCCTTTTCTGTATCAGGAAGGAAAAAATGCCACCAATGTATTTAAAGGAAGCGCTGGTAAACATCAGCTCAAGACTGAGATCCCAGTGTGCTGTGGTAATCCAGACTTTCTCTACAATAGGTCCCTGAAAATGTTGAAGTATTGATTGTAGAATCATAATTCCCAACGGAAATGAAATTATCTCCGAACCATAAACAGCGACATTGACTTCTCTCCACTTATAATATTTGTTAAGGGTTAAAACTAGCTGATACAGATTTAGTGGAAAGGTTTGATAGATAACTGCACAAATGCCATTCCTTAACATCAAAGAAGACAACGTCCTCATGAACCTTTCTCCCTGGTCAGTTTCTGGAGCAACAAGACCAACCATGGTCCACTTGAAATAGAGGAGCAGCTTGACCATCCCTGGGTACTGGACTCCCTCAGTAGGGAGCATCGGGTAGAAGAAAGGAAATTGAGTTTTATCCCTCAAAATCTGGGAAGCCAAACTGTAACTGATCTGAAAAGAATTAACAGAAACCAGAGTCGGAAGGGACGTTGGAGATCTTGTAGTCTAACCTCCTGCTCAGGCAGGAAACTCTATATTATTTCAGAAAAATGGTTGTCCAATCTCTTCATAAAAACTTCCAGTATCCCACAACTTCTGGAGGCAAGTCGTTTCACTGATTAATTGTTCTAACTATCGGGAAATTTCTCCTTAGTCCTAGGTTGATTCTCTCCTTGATTAAAGATTGAATTGAAGATGATGTTCTTTTAAACGTAACAAGCAAAATGTAATTCCTCCAATTTCCTTAATAAAACTCTGCTTGTCAATTAAAGCAGAGGATGTTTGATTCAAGTAAGACATACCTGAGGGATTTTGTAGGTGCCGAGCATGGTTGAAATCTGGATGGAGATGCCAGTTTCAGCCCCTTCCAGAACAGCTACTGAGTTTCTCTGCCATCCACACCTGTAGTTGGGAACATTGGCCTCCCCATCTGAAAGCAGGTCCAGCAATGGATCTGAAGTCATTTCTACCTTGAAGAAAATTTGATAAACATTGTAACCCAGAGTGATGTTAGGTAAGAGATGGCCATTCTTGTCAATCTCCTCAGTGGCAAAAAGGAAGGGCAGAAATTTCCAATAATGATTGGATGATGGTCTGCAGGTACAGAAAAAGAGACATGAAAATAACATACAACTTTGTTCCATGATAAAACTGTTCTCTTCATCCACCCATCACAATTATTCTTCCAAACGATTTGCAAACAGCCAAACTATTACCAGAAAGGGGGGGGGATAAAAACAATAGAAAATTTTGGATCCCATGCTAGTTTTAGGAACAATTCTATTTGGTTACACTAGCATCACTTTACTTTCCTATATTGGTCTTCAAGCATTTTATATTTGATAAATTATTTCTTCTGTCTGAGTGAGGGTGGGTGATATACACAGATAACTTCCATGTTTTGGTACAGCTCTACGATCCTATCAAATAATTTTAAAGTTAGGAAATTGAATGGCTAAAAACACTATTTATTATTAGCCCTTGCACATTCTTCATATGATAAATTCTTGTGGAGTTGGACCAAACTTATTGAGAATTCTTTTTGTTGTTTCTGGGGCTGTATTTTTTTTCTTTCTTGTTTTTTATTTCTATTTCTTTTAATTATACGCTCTCCAGAGTCACACGGGTGTATAAATTCCAACCAATATAATAGAGATAACATTTTCATTTGTTTAAAATGTTTCATTGTTAAATCCCTGGCATGAACTCTTGAATGAGAATCAGAGATAACTCTCTGAATGGTTATATTCCTAACTGGGATGCTTTGAAACCAGCAGTAAATTTTGATGTGGATAAGCTAGAGTGGATTTATCTCATATCTGAGGCAAAGAGAAAATACAGCATCCCTCTGTGGTTAAACCAGGTATCCCTTGGAGTCCAGCTCAGCTTAGAATTCAGCTAGAAGAGAAAGGACCTCTGTGTTTACACTCTAGCTCTGCTCAGAGGACAGAAAGGAAATGGAATGGGGGCAAACATCGTGATTGGATTCTTCGACTTTACCACTCACAATGAGCTTTGTCACCTGCAGTGTGCCACAGAAGGCAGAATCAGAAAGTAGTTTAGCAAAAGGAGCTACATCAAGGAGAGAGAATCTTGTGTTTTCAGAGAACTAGAACTGTAGACATTCAATGAAAATGGAGTGGCTCCAATACAATGCAGGACTTACTTAAGGAACATTATTGAAGGACTTCTGTCAAAGCTTAATGATTCAAACCTAGTGTCCCTTGCAGAGATTATGCCGCTAATGAAATAATCTCCTGATTTGTAGTGATTGTCTGGGTCCACTTCACCCTGCTCCAGAGTCAGGAGACATTTGGCTTTGTGTATCTCAGAGGCTCCCCTCCGCCACAGAAGCAGAATAAGCTGAAGCAGTAGCAACATGATTTGAGCCTTCTCTGTGCCACCTGTTTTTTTTTAAACAAAATATGAGATGAGGAAAACAGAACACTTCCAGGAAAGTGGCTTCAAATGCTGTCAGAGCCCAGCCAAGAGACATAAACACAGTATTTGCTTGTCCTGAAATCAGCCCCAGATTCCTTTTCTGTCTCCAGAGTCATTTATGCATCTAGTATTTCTGATACAGACTCCTCTCAACTTTTCATGTGAGTCTTATATAGATATCAAACCAATTTCTGACTTGTTTGTGTAAAATTTTCTGAAAGTTTGCAGAAACATCTCTAGGGTCCTAATCTAGACAACAAAAATTACTATAATTTGGATAATTGCAAAAAAGAGAACTATCTGAACACTGAATGAGTCAATAGGAAGTGCCCAAAGGGAGAACTCAGAGTTGTGGTCCCAAACCTGGAAAAGGGGCCAGTGAAGGAAACTGGAGAATTTTGCCCCAAATTTTTATATGTATATGTATGTTTTATATACACATACATATCTATTCAGATTTCTTTTTGCTGACAAATCACTTTTGCCTTGCAGCCCCTCAACTAGGGGCGTTAACCAGGCTCAAGTCGCTACTGTGATACATTACAAATTTCTGGTTTTAGTGAAGTGTTAAAAAGTTCAACCACTTTACTGGCCTATAAATCACATGATTCCTTTAAAGTAGTCATTTTTTTTGTTTTAGTAATCAACTTACAAGGTTTCATTGATTAGCAAACAAGACAGATTTTTTTTCTCTACACAAGAGATTCTTTGTAATTAACTTCATAGTCTTTAAATCAGTTTCACAAAGTTGCAACAGTTGCAACAGTCCCGGGCAGTTGCAAGCTGCCCGGGACCAGACTGGCTGGTGCCAGCACTCACGCGCATGCGTGAAGTGCAAAGCCCACCAAATGTTGCCGTTTGGCCCGGGGATTGTCTTTGAGAGGGGGAGAGAGGCTTGTGGTGCAGCAGTTAGAGTGCAGTACTGCAGGCCACTTTAGCTGACTGTGTTCAGCAGGTCAGCGGTTCAAATCTCACCGGCTCAAGGTTGACTCAGCCTTCATCCTCCGAGGTTGGTAAAATGAGGACCCAGATTGTTGGGGGCAATGTAAATATATATATATATATATATATATTATATATTATATATATATATATATATAAGTCTTTGGTTGTTCGGGTTTTCTCCCGCGTAAAATTGGAAGTGTCTTGGGCAACGTTTCGACGAAGTCACATCGTCATCTTCAGGCTGGTGTTTTTAGCTTCTTGCTTTGAGCAGCAAAAAATATATATATACACATTGCTTACTGGTGTACACCGCTTAGAGAGTGCTTGCACTTAAAGCGGTATATAAGTCTCATAAATAAATAAATAAATAAATTGTGTGCCTCGGTGTTGTAACAGAGCTGCTAGTCACCAATAAAGAGGCTCCTGAGAACTACCAAATGACTGCTGAAGTTATTTCCTTTCGCGAAGGACTCAACACAAAGCATTTATAAAGTTTTCCAAAAACAACTCTAAAATCACCTCTTTGCTGTATATTACAAAAGATTACAAAAAATAAAGATTTTACAAAGTTGGAAAGATGTGACATTATTGTTATTATGTGATGTCTCCTATTGACATCACCAATCAAGGAGGTGCCCAAAGGGAGAACTCAAAGTTGTGGTCCCAAACCTGGAAAAGGGGCCAGTGAAGGAAACTGGAGAATTTTGTCCCAAATTTTTATATGTATATGTATGATATATATACATACATATCTATATGCATATCTATATATACATATACATATGTGTTTTCTGAGGTTTTCGCGGGTGTTTGTATGTAGGTCTTTGGTTATTCGGGTTTTCTCCCACATAAAATTGGAAGTGTCTTGCCCCACCACATACATCGGACAAACCAACAGAAGAATAAGTGCACGCATTGAAGAATACAAGAACTCAGTCAAAAAAGAGGAACCAATTTCTTCCCTGATCCAACACTTAAAGCCACAGGACATGAAATTGACTTTAAAAAGACCAGAACTATTGCCAAAACTGAACACTTTAATAACAGAATAATCAGAGAAGCCATTGAGATAGAAAAACGCCACACAGCATGAATAAACGAGATGATACCTCCGGCCTACCAGCCATTTGGAAACCCGCCCTTATTGACAAACGAGTCCCTAACACAAAGAATGACACCAGACCCACACTCACGAAAACCACACAGGATGTCACCACCACACATCTATGCAAAAAGCAAACCCAAACCCACACTGATGATGAGGCATGACCACAAACCAGAAGCCAGACCACAGCTGCATCATTACCCACTTTAAACCCCTCCAATCCATACCTGAAGCAAACTGACACCCACCATGAAGATGAGGCATGACCACGAACGTGAAGCCAAACAACAGCAATGCAGCTCACCATCTCAAATTCCCCTGCAACTCAGACTAACCCAAGCACAACAAAGCCCCCACCCAAACAGAACACTCCCCCTCCAATCAGACCACAGCCAACCCCCCATCCAATCAGAACACAGCCAAGCCCCTAACCAATTAGAACACACCTTCACCCAATCAGAATACAGCCAAGCTCCACCCAATCAGATCATACTCCCATTGGCAGTTAAAAGGAAGAAACAGCTACGATCACACATTGCTCCTAGAAGCACGAAGCCGAAAACACCAGCCTGAAGATGACGAATGGGACTTTGTTGAAACGTCGCCAAGAAACTTCCAATTTTACGCGGGAGAAAACCCGAATAACCAAAGACCTACAAATGCATATGTATGTATACATACATACATATACACAGACACAGATATAGGCACACACACATATATATGTATGTATGTATATATATGTATGTACATGTATATTTGTGTATGTATTTGTACATATATGTATATGTATATAACTTTGTACACCATAGGTGACCTCTTTCATCATGGGCACCATCAATTGTTGGGCTTCCTGAAGGCTTTCCTCCAACAATGTTATAAAAACCCTGGCTACTCAAAGCTAGTTCTTGCTCTTCTCCAGTAGCTTGCAGGCTACCATCCAAGCTGGAGGGTCCACTGTTGGTATCCATATCTGAGTCATATTGAGTTATTGCCATCAAGTGTTTCAGTGAGATTTTTACAGGGTAGTTCACCACTGCCTTCCCTAACCCTCCCCATTTTTCCAGGCTTGGGATCAACTGCGTTCCTCTCTTCTTTAATTTATTTTAGTAATTTAGTTGACCAGTTAGATATTCCAGATTATCCTCACCTAATTTGGTGGGAGATGTCTCCTTAGGCTGATGATGCTAAGTTCTTGAGTCCCAATACTGCAAAGAATCCCAAATGCAGATAAACTATGATATAAGTAAAATAAAAGCATTTTCATAGAACCCTCTTCCCACAATTATTTCTGGCATATCAGTAAGATTCCCATTGCCGAAGTCTCATGTTTCAAATACCTGGCTGTGGATTTTCAGGACTCATATAGGCTAAGAGCACAGGACAAATAGGATACTTTGACTGTTCAAAAGAGCTCAGCTGCTATCTTGTCATTCTACTGGACAAGGATAGGAGAAACTATCTACCAGTTGGCCTTCAAGGAAAAGCATTGGCCCACTTGTTATATCTTCAGTTCTTTAGGCATTGAATGAGACAGAGTGTTGAAATAGCAATAAGTTTATTAACTCAGAACAGAAGCAGCCCTAAAGGCTGCTGCACAGCTATTTATACAGTGAGCCTCTAGGTGGCAACCAATAGGTTTAAAGTTACAGTTTCCCGCCCCAAAACTCATTATCAACTTGGAGACAGCCAGTCTGGCTTTCAGTAACAGCAACTGTTAAACAATACAACAATGTAGGTAATAGTAATGGTAGTAAAGTTGGAAGGGATCTTGGAGGTTATCTAGTCCAACCCCCTGCTCAGGCAGGAAACCCTACACCATTTCGGACAAATGGCTGTCCAGTCTCTTCTTAAAAACTTCCAGTGTTGGAGCATTTACTGCGTCTGGAGGCAGGCTGTTCCACTGATTAATTGTTCTCATTGTCAGGAAGTTTCTCCTTAGTTCTAGGTTGCTTCTTTCCTTGATTAGTTTCCACCCGTTGCTTCTTGTCCTGCCTTCAGGTGCTTTGGAAAATAGCTTAAATTCCCTCTTCTTTATGGCAGCCCCTGAGATATTGGAATACTGCTATCATGTCCCCCCCTTGTCCTTCTCTTTGTTAAACTAGACATACCAATTCTAGCAACCGTTCCTTATATGTTTTAGCCTCCAGTCCCCTAATCATCTTTGTTGCTCTTCTCTGTACTCTTTCTAGAGTCTCAACATCTTTTTTACATCGTGGTGACCAAAACTGGATGCAGTATTCCAAGTGTGGCCTTACCAAGGCATTGAAAGTGGTATTAATACTTCACGTGATCTTGATTCTATCCCTCTGTTAATGCAGCCTAGCACTGTGTTGGCCTTTTTGGCAGCTGCAGCACACTGCTGGCTCATATTTAGGTGATTGTCTACTAGGACTCCAGGTCCCTCTCACAGTTACTACTATTGAGCAAGGTGCCACCTATGTTTAGAACACTAGGGTCTATTTTATCAAATTAACCATGAAGACAGCATAGTAGGCTGCCATTGTTTTGTTAGTTGGCGAAGAAATCTTTTGGGTCCGACCCATCGCGACCCCTGGCAATGTTCAGCATCCAGGTCTTCCTTGTCCTCGTACCATCTTCTGGAGATCCATTGTAATTCACCCTACTGCTTCAGTGACTCCATGGACCAAGGCCATCTCATGTCTCTTGTCGTCCCCTTCTTCTATTGCCGCTACAATCTTTCCCCAGCATTAGGCCTTCTCCAGTGAGTACCTTACCTTCTCATTAGGTGGCCAAAGTATTTGAGTTTCAACTTCAGGATCGGGCCTTCTAAAGAGCAGTCGGGGTTGATCTCCTCTAGGACCAACCGGTTGGATCGCCTTGCAGTCCAGGGGATGCGCAGGAGTCTTCTCCATCACCATAGTTCAAAGGCCTCAATTCTTTTGCGCTCAGCCTTTCTTATGGTCCAACTTTCACAGCCCTACATTGCAACTGGGAAAACCATGGCCTGGACTATACGCACTTTTGTTGGCAGGGTGATGTCTCTGCTTGTTAGTATGCTGTCTAGATTTGCCATAGCTTTCCTCCCCAAGGAGCAGCGTTCTTTTAATTTTCTTGGCTGCAGTCCCCATCTGAGGTGATCTTGGAGCCCAGAAAAATAAAATCAGTCACTACCTCCATTTCTTCCCCATCTATTTGCCAGGAATTGAGAGGGCCGTATGCCATGATTTTGGTTTTCTTAATGTTGAGTTTCAAGCCAACTTTTGCACTCTCCTTCTTTACCCGCATCAAGAGGCTCTTTAGTTCCTCTTCACTTTCTGCCATTAGAGTGGTATCATCTGCATATCTTAGGTTGTTGATATTTCTTCCGGCAATCTTAATTCCAACTTTTGATTCATCTAGCCCTGCCTTTCTCATGATGTGCTCTGCATATAAGTTAAATAGGCAGGCTGCCATAGGGGTGAAAAATTGTTTATATACTGCAGGTGGGTATTATTATTTTTTGTCTAATTGGAAAATGATGTGTTGTACTTTAATAGAGGAGGAGACAACTTTTGCATATATAGTCTGACATATATTGAGTTCGTTTTGGAAGGACTATCAGTGGAAAATAATTAATACAAGTGCATATGCTGCCTTCAACATATATGTGTTTAATTGATAGAGTTAAGTTACTGACAAGATAATGAATTGCAAAGAAATTGTGTTATATACATTCAACTTT